AAACCCACATAGCCTTCCCATTGAGAGCAGCCAGTCCTTTAAGACCATTTATCTTAAATTCTTAAATCCAGGCTTAATTTGGAATTACATGATGGGGAAAGAGCAAGAAATTGGATGAGAGAGTTCACTCGAATGGGGGAGCTAGCACCAGCACAGACACAAATGAGACTGTATTGAGAATTTGCGCAACAGTAGAATATCTGAAACCTGACTCTATCCAGGCCCCACAGGTTGTGAAGGAGTCTGAATGTTTGAAGGCAATTGTGGTAGAGGTCCCTATCTGCTTGTGTACCTAATGAACTAATAATAATAATGTAATGGTTCTCTAACCCATCCTCAGCAACATTGTTGGAATGAGGATTCTCTGCAACAACTGGAGTTGAGCCAGAGTCCATCAATCCTTTTACAAGGGAATTAGAGGCTTGAAAAGGAGAAATACAATCCAACTGATATTTATACAGCATCTTTCATATCAGAAGAATGTCTCAAAGTGCTTCACAGTGCTGATGAGTTGGGGGTGGAAGCAGAGGGGAGTGGGGGAAGCGAGCAGGAGAGTGAGACTAAGAGGTTGGGCTGAACGACCTGTTCCTGTGCTGGTGTCCTGCCTGACAATCCCCCAAATAAAATTGGTTGATTACTTCATGGCTGTTTGCGGGACGTTGCTATTTGCATAAATTGGCGGCCACATTTGCTCACAAAACATACAGTCATTACACTTTACAGTGAATCCTGTGAAGCACTTTCACACACTGTGAAGATGTGATAAGGCGCTGTATCAAATGTATGGATGATTATTATTACTGTCACTTTCAATTCGGTGAATATTTTCAGTTAGTCTTTGGAGACCCAAGAGAACCCATCTTATATTGATCCCATTTCAGCTCTACAGTCTGACTCTCACTGACCTGCCATGGGAGAACCTCTGAAAACTTTCAGCTGCTGAAAGATGGCGTGGGATTAGTTCCCATGTGCAGCAGAGGCTCTGCTAGATACCGGTTTGAAGGCAACACCCTGAATACAGACATCTGTCACCACAGCCAAATATGCCAGTGATCTGTTTGGGGGAAAGAACTGCTGTGGTGACTGAATCAGAATGGAAAGTAACCCCCCATCCCCATCCCGCAGCCTGCTTTCCAACATTTATTATATCGTTTATAAGTGACCGAGACGTTAGTTAACCTGACATCCAGCCTGCCTGTCCAGCTGGATAGATGGCGTGGCACTATTGTCACAGAGCAGGGAGTTTCTCCTGATGTCTCTGCTAACAATCCACCAGATAAATTAGTCATTCACTTCCTGGCTGTTGGTGGGACCTTGCTGTGTGCAAATTTGCTGCTGCATTTGCCTACAAAAACAGTCATCGCGCTTACAGTAATTCCTGTGAAGGACTTTGAGACTTTTGACACAGGCGCTGGATTAAATGGAAGTATTGTTCTATTTATTTGACTTCCTGCCCACAAGACTTCTTGCCTTTGACGTTTCGCCCAAAAAATACACAGTCAATTCTTTACAATAAAGTCTAACTGAACAAAGCAATGAGGCGTTATATCAAATGCAAGGATTCGATAACAGCTTTTAAGAGAGAAGTAGATAATAATTTGGGGAGGACAAGTTTGCAGGGCTATGGGGAGAGAGCCGGGGAGTGGGTTGAATCGAATAGCTCTTTTTAAAGAGCCGGCACAGACACAATGGGCCGAATGGCCTCCTTCTGTGCTTTATAATTCTATGATATTTTCACTTGCTCCCCGAGCCTGGCTAGATGTGAACCCCCCACTCCCCCCGCTCACCCAGTGGGAGTTGGACCTCAGGTCTTTCTGCTTGTGCCAAACCCTCCTATTGATGTAAATACAAAACCTTATCTCAGGATTACTCAGGAGGCTGCCTGACCTATAAAGAGGCTGATAAAGCCTTGCTGTGATGCCAGGGTGCTGACTTTGTGGAGGTTCCCTACCCAGCAAGGTGAGGCTGTGCTGCGTGTGCAAAATGGCTGCTGTGTTTCCCTACAAAAAAATGACATTTGTTAGCAGTTTCCCGAGAGGTGCTTTGAAACGTGAAATTATGTTCCCTGGATCGGAAGATGGATCATCGTTATTAAAGTGAAAACCTCCCATGGCTTCCTGCTGCTTGCTTAGCTAGGACCACCCTACCCATTAGGGCTTTGGCTTGCAGGGTTAATGGGAGCTGAGTGGGAAGAATCATAACAACAATAAATCACATTTGTATAGAGCCTTTCACGGCAGGACATCCCAAGGTGCTGGACAGTCAGGGATTTGGACTCAAGCTGGAGGTTGGGATCAGGAGAGGTGGAGGGCACGGAGGGTAGGGATATGTGGGTGACCGAAGGCACGGTCAAAGAGGAGGGTCTTGAGACATGCTTGAACGGAGGCAAGTAAGGGAGCAAGGCGAAGGGACTGTGAGATGGAGTTCCAAAGGGTAGGGGCAGAGAGGCTGAAGGCCCAACCACTGATGGTGGGGTGGGCTGGGTGGGGGACGTGGATCAGGAAGCAACTGTGAATGTAGGAGGCTTGCAGAGCTGTTTGTTGGACGCTGTTTGTTAGAGCACAAGACTGAGAGAGAGTGTAACCACAGAGCCCAGAGCTGAACACTGCCTGTAACCCACGACTCCAGCCTGCATCACATTACATAAGAACATAAGAATTAGGAGCAGCAGCAACAACAAGATTACATTTGTATAGTGCCTTTCATGTCAAGAGGACATCCCAAGGCACTGGACAGTGTACAGCATTTCTGTCCGAGCTGGGGTCGGGGGGGGTAAGGGAGGAGAGGGGAAGGGGAGTGACTGATGGCATGGTCGAAGAGGAGGGTCTTGAGGCGGGACCTGAAGGAGGCCAAGGAGGGGGCGAGGCGGAGTGATTGGGGGATGGAATTCCAGAGGTTGGGAACAGAGTGACTGAAGGCTCTTCCGCCAACGGTGGGGTGGGTGGGTTGGGGGACGTGGAGCAGCCAGAGCCGGCTGAACAGAGGGAGCGGGCAGGTTGGTAGGGGGTTAGGAGGTCACAGAGATAGGGTGGGGCGAGGCCATGGAGGGCTTTGTAGGTGAGGACCAGGATCTTGAACTGGATCCTCTGAAGGATAGGGAGCCAATAATAATAATAATAATCCTTGCATTTGATATAGCGCTTTTCACGTCGGGAGGACATCCCAAAGCGCTTCACAGAACACACTGTAAAGTGAATTGACTGTATATTTGTGGGCGAACGCGGCAGCCAATTGCGCACAGCAATGTCCCACAAACAGTCGTAGATTAAAAATGACCAATTTATTATTGTTTTGTTTTGGAGGGATTATTATTAGGCTCTGTGTGGAGTAAGGAAACTTGCCCGAGGTTTCGCCCTCTGCCTGGAATTGAACTCAGGTCTCTCACTTGCAAAGAGAGTGCTCTAACCACTGAGCTACAGGACTCCAATGGAGTCGGGCGAGAATGGGGGAAATGGGGTCACGGAGTTTGGTGCGAGAGAGGACACGGGCTGCAGAGTTCTGGATTATCTTCAGCTGTGGAGGGAGGATTTGGGAAGGCTGACAAGTAGGGAGTTTGCATAGTGGAGCCTGGAGGTGATGAAGGCATGAACAAGAGTTTCAGCGCCTGAGGGGTGAGGCAGTGGCCGAGTCGGGCGATGTTATGGAGGTGAGGGAAGGCAGAGCGGGTCATGGCTTGAATGTGGGGGAGAAACGACAGTTGAGGGTCAAACAAGACCCCGAGGTTCCTGACTTGCTTCCTTACTTCATTGTGATCATATCCTGAACAACTAGCCCACCCGTCAGATCAGTTCTCACCACTAAATATCACCCTTCCCACCTGCACGCACCTCTCTAATCACGCAATGCAAATATACACCCAGATGAACATACACCACTGTCCTCTCACCTCACCACCCTGAAAATACAGCCGAGTCCCTGGAATGTGTCCTCACCTTGTGCAAACAGCAGTCTGATTGTTTGACCTGCTGTCAGGCACGGGCATTTGATTTAGATCAGCGCTGAGCTCTGGCTCAGGACAAGGGCATCTGACACCCCTGAGGGTCACTAGGAGGCTCTGAGGGTAACTTGCAAGGGTTTCAACACCTTAGAACATCCTCCCCACGTGAAAGGCTCCATACAAATGTCATTTGTATGGAGCCTTTCAGTGTGCGAGATGCTCTCTCTCACAAGTGGGGTCACCCAGTTTGTTATCCACCACATCTGAGACTGAGATTCCACCTGGTCTTAGCCTGCCACACCATCTAATTAAGCAAGACTGTTTCATGGATATGAAAGCTCACAGCTCATGATCTCCTTGCATTTGATATGGCGCCTTACCACGTTGTTGAGATGTCTCACAGTGCTTCGCAGGATATATTGTAAGACTGTAAGGATATGTTGACCGTATTTTGTGGGTGAAACGCAAGTGCCAATCGTGCACAGCCGTGACCCACAGACAGTCGTGGACTGAGGGACCACTTTTTTTTGAGTGATTATTACCCCTGGAAAGTGATCCGTCAGTCGACAAACAACCAGGTCCCTATTTATTGCTGAGCAAACAGGCGAGTGGCGTAGACACTCACTTTAGGTTCCGCTCTGCCCGGGGATCGAACCCGGGTCCCCTCAGTGATGGGGCTCTCCCCCCCTCTCCCCCCCCCCCCATGGTGTCAGTGATGGGGCTCTCCCCCCCCCACCATGGTGTCAGTGATGGGGCTCTCCCCCCCCCACCATGGTGTCAGTGATGGGGCTCTCCCCCCCCCACCATGGTGTCAGTGAGGGGGGGGGAGAGGGTGAGAGACGCTCCCTGTGGGGGGGGGGGAGAGGGTGAGAGACGCTCCCTGTGGGGGAGGGTGAGAGACGCTCCCTGGGGGGAGAGGAGAGGGTGAGAGACGCTCCCTGTGGGGGGGGGAGAGGGTGAGAGACGCTCCCTGTGGGGGGGGGAGAGGGTGAGAGACGCTCCCTGTGGAGAGGAGAGGGTGAGAGACGCTCCCTGGGGAGAGGAGAGGGTGAGAGACGCTCCCTGGGGCCGCGCCTGCGCAGTGATGCTGGGCCTAGGCCTGGGCCTGGCGCTGGCGGCGCTCTCGGCGCTGCTCCTCCTGTTGTTGTGCCGCCGCCTCCGCGCTTCGTCCGCCACCGCCGCCCGTCTGATGGCGCGGACCGAGAGGCCGCTCTTCAGGATCGCGTGAGTGTCCGCTGCTCCCGGGGTGAGGGTTAGGGTGAGAGGCCCCGACACCGACCCCCCGACGGCACTAACTGAGGGCACTGCCGTTACTGCCGTCACTGGGGGACAGCGACAACAACAACAACAACACTAACCCACATGTGAACCTGTGACTCGTCGTCCAGACGTCCCCGAGTGCTTCACGTGGTTTTGCTGTCCGTGTGGTGTGTGTTGTGGGGTATCACAGCCACGAGGTGAAGGGCCGTTATTCTGGGGATCGTCGCCCCGGAAACACCGGGACAGAGGAACTCGGGGATCGCTTTCCCCACTCCCGAGTCGCGAGAGATCTTTAACGTCCGCCCGAACCGGGCACAGCCCGGGGGGGGGGAGGGGGGGGCTCGGCTTAACGTTCCGCCCCCGGTAATCCCCCCCCCCCCTCCCCCCGGTAATCCCCCCTCCCCCCCCCGCCGGCATTGCCCTGAAACATCAGCCGAGAGACCGTGGGGTCGCAGCCCCGCGAGGCTCGAACCCACAGAGCCTCCTCACCGGGAGGGGTGGGTGGGAGGGAGAGGCTGAGCCTCCTCACCGGGAGGGGTGGGGAGGGAGGGAGAGGCTGAGCCTCCTCACCGGGAGGGGTGGGGTGGGGTGGGAGGGAGAGGCTGAGCCTCCTCACCGGGAGGGGTGGGGGTGGGAGGGAGAGGCTGAGCCTCTCCTCTCGGTGGTTGACTTCCTGCCCTGTGACGGGGCTGTGGTTTCAGGTACACACTGTACACGAGGACCAAACTGGGGTACATTTTCCACAAGAAGCAGCTGAGGAAGGCTCGCGAGTGCTACCCCTCCGGCCATTCCGTGGTCAACCCCACAGTGATCAACGGTGAGTTCCCCTCGGGCGGGAGGGGGGGGGGCAGGAGTGGGGGTAGGAGGGGGGCAGGAGGATGGGGGGGTAGGAGGGGGGCGCAGGAGGGGGGGAGGAGGGGGGGTAGGAGGGGGGGGCGGCTGCTTTGCTTGAATCGTGGTACCCGACAGCGAGAAGGCGGCCCCGGGGCGCCGCCCCCCCCCCCCCCCCGGTGTGAAAGACGCGGCGCGCAAATGTGATTTGTTGTTGTTGTTCGCCCCACTGTGCGCCTGTGCTGTGGGGTCACATTCAGCTGCTTCTACAACACAACGACGACAACAACAACAACAACAACAAGATTCCATTTATAGAGCGCACTTTCACGTCGGGAGGACATCCCGAGGCGCTGGACGGTTGGGTCGGGACCCGAGCATTGGGGGGGGAAATGGTCAGAGTGAGGGGAGGGGAGGGAGCGAGGAGGGGGGAATGGTCAGGGTGAGGGAAGGGAGGGAGCGAGGAGGGGGTAGAGAGTCGAGGGGGGAGCTGAAGGCGCGGTGGAGCTCACTCGCCCCTTTGCGGTTGGTTGTGCGCGAGTTACCGGATGTGAACCCGGTGTTATCACGGGGTTCAGTGTAATTTGCTGTGCAGCGAGTGGGGTGGGAGCTGAGGGTCTGTCTCTCTCTGCCTTTCAGGCGTGAAAATCCTCCCGGTTCCCATCCTGTCCGACAATTACAGCTATCTGGTCATCGACACCGCCTCCAGGCTGGCAGTCGCCATCGACCCGTCTGATCCTCTCAGCATTCAGGTAATGCAGCTCCCCTGCCCCCCCCCCCCCCACAGACACACAGGTAACAGGCTGCTCCCTCCCCCCCCCCCGTAAAACACTGTCCCCCTCACTGATGCATTGCCCCCCTCACTAACACATTGCCCCCCCTCACTGATGCACTGCCCCCCTCACTGACACATTGCCCCCCTCACTGACACATTGCCCCCCCTCACTGACACACTACCCCCCTCACTGACACATTGCCCCCCCTCACTGATGCACTGCCCCCTCACTGACGCACTACCCCCCCCTCACTGACGCACTACCCCCCCTCACTGACACATTGCCCCCCCTCACTGACACATTGCCCCCCTCACTGACACACTACCCCCCCTCACTGACACATTGCCCCCCCTCACTGATGCACTGCCCCCTCACTGACGCACTACCCCCCCCTCACTGACACATTGCCCCCCCCTCACTGATGCACTGCCCCCCTCACTGACGCACTACCCCCCTCACTGACACATTGCCCCCCTCACTGACACATTGCCCCCCACCCCCACTGACGCACTGCCCCCTCACTGACGCACTACCCCCCCTCACTGACACATTGCACCCCCTCACTGATGCACTGCTCCTCCCTCACTGACGCACTGCCCTCACCCCCCCTCCGTACACACACAGATGTAACACCCTGCCACCCCCCCCCCATCCACAGGTCCTCTCAATGTGGAAGCCGCTGTACAAGTGTAATTCTGTATTGTGTTGTCTCAGTGGATTGTGGTAAGGATGAGCAATCAGTGTAATGTGAGGAGGAAATGACTGCATCCTCCAGGGACAGGGAATGAGGCTCCCATAACATCACTGTGATAAAGTAAACAGCTCAGCTTCCTGCCAAATCCCTCCACACAGTGAAACTGACCAGCCATGTACTGTACTGTATGGTCTTTTGTTTGGGATTCGCTGCACAGTGAGAGTTCATAGCTCAGTCCTGCCTCCGGCAATGATGAGCATTGGAGGAAAATGTGTGTCATTCTCTTTTGCAGAGCGAGACACACACACACACACAACCGATGACCAGGGAGCATTACTGTGTCTCTAACCCTGACCTGGAGTGTGGACGCACAGTGTAGAGGGAGCTGTACTTTCACAGTTGTGTAATGCTTCAGGGTCTGTAAGAGCAATGTATCCTGTGCGAGGGGCTGGGCTGGAGTGCTGTAGCTGTCACTGATGTGCTGATGTTTTTTCAGACTTGTCTTGAACAGGAAGGCGTGTCTCTGGAAGCTATCCTCACCACACACAAGCACTGGTGAGTGAGATCATTGTGGCCTCATTTCTCCAGAGGACTCTGAGGTCCGCAATTCCACCGCAATTGAGGTTCATAATGAGGGGGCTCGAACTCTCCGACCTGCTCACTCCACTACCCCTGCCTCTGCCCAACTGGCTCCAGCCTCCTGCATGTCCCTCATGCCCTCCGTTCCACCATTGGTGGACGTGCTTTCAGCCACTACGCCCCAAACCTCTCTTCCCCCAGTCTGTCCGCCTTGCCCCCGCCTTCCCCACCTTCAAGTCGCTCCTGTAGACCTTCCTCTTCGACCATGGTTACGGTCACCTCCCCCTCCCCCCCGGCTCGCTGTCGTGCTCCGCCACTGTCCAGCTCTGAGACGTTACCCTGCGTGAGGAGCGCTGGGTAAATGTAAGTTATTGTTAATGTGAAACTCACACAGCAATGTGGGAAATTCGTGCATCCCACCTCAACATGGAGGCCGTTTACCACAGCTCCACGGAGGAGCTGGCAGGTAAATTAAGACAGAATTTAAGAATTTACCACAATTCTGTGTGATCTTCACATTTTACACATCTAACCTGAGACTCCCTCCCTCTGACCCCACTGCCTCGCCCTCACCCCTCCTCCACCACATACCCCTCCGTTACTGACCCCACCCCTCTGACACCCCCCCTCCTCAATTACTGCCCCACCCCTCTGCCACCCCCCCATTCCTTTGTTATCCTCCCCACCCCTCTGTCACCCCCCCCCACTCCTTCGCTACTGCCCCCACCCCCCCCCACTCCTCCGTTATTCCCCCCCACCCCTCCGTCATTAACCCCCTCCTCTACGTCTGTGTTCTGGCCTCCACAGGGACCACAGTGGTGGGAACAAAGCGCTGAAAAAGATCTACAAATGCTGCCGGGTGTATGGGAGCTCCACAGACAACGTCCCCGGCCTTACAGAGTGAGTGTGAGTGTGTGAGGAGTGTAGACGACCCTCTCTGCTCTCCACCCTCCCTGATCCCAATCCCGCCCCCCGCCCCCACCCCCACTTGGGTCCTAATCCCTGACAGTTCAGCGCCTTGGGACGTCCTCCCAACGTGAAAAGCGTTTTACAAATGTAATTTTGTATTGTGTGTGTATGGGTATGAGAAGTGTGTGTGTGCGAGAGCAGTGTGCGGATGTGTGAGGACTGTGCATGTGTGCGAGAGAAGTGTGTGTAAACAGTGTGTGTGTGTGTGTGTGTGGGACAGGGTGAGGGGTGGCTCAGGCCTGGAGTTGGGGTTAGTGTCAGGCTGAGTGTAAGAGCCTCTTGTGTTGGGAATGGCTGGTTTTCGGCTTTATTTTGGCTGCCCAGGATTTGCTGACAATGTCCCCACCCAGTATTGTATTGTAGGTGATTCATTGAACCCATCGCTCTGGTTTCTGCCTGTCACCGAGCCCGCCCGCTTCTCAATATAGCCAGCGGGTCAACGCCAACACCCACACCCCGCCTCACCCCACCTTACTCTGGACTCCTGTGCCTTCACCCTCATTGGCCTTCCCTCTCGCTCACCAAACACTCACCCAAAGAAATATTTCCGGTAATATTTCTTGCTCTTGGCTGGCACAGCCACAGCACACTTACCTTTGAGAACCGGGGGAGAGAGTGCGTGGGGTGTGTTGGTGCAGGGGAGCCGCGGAGCTGGGTCAGCTTGTTGTCACCGCTGCTGTGAGCTGATCTCCATCTCTCTTTCTCTCTGGCGGCAGCCCGCTGGCCGACAAACAGACCATCCACGTGGGGAACCTGCGATTCCAGGCTCTGGCCACCCCCGGGCACACCATTGGGCACATGATCTACGTGCTGGACGGTTCCCCGCACCACGGCCCCGCGTGCGTCTTCTCCGGGGACCTGATCTTCCTATCCGGCTGCGGTAAGTCCCGCCCCATCACCAGCACCATAACCAGCACCGGGTCTCCCCCAGCGCCTCACACACATCGCGCCATGTCCTCCTGTCTTCATCAGGACAGAACAACTCGTCCTGGAATTTCACACTAGTGTCACACATTCACTGCTCACACTCGTTCGTCGCCGGGGTGCACAAGCT